AGAAATACTGTCGGAAAATATTGGATTTTTAGAACATTTTTCAAGGATCCCTTTCCTAAGGAAGGACTTCCTGACAAACATTGTGGACATTTTAAGCGGATACAAAATTGTGTATTCTTTGAAGTACCTCAATTCAAAATTCATGTTTTTTTAAACTGTTTGAAGGACCTTTCGAAGGACATTCTGACAAAAAATTGGTGGATTTTCAAGATATTATTAGGGATCTCTTCACAAAAAAATTGAACATTTTTTTTGGAAGCACCTCCTGACTAAAAATTCGTAATCAACGACTTTGGTGAAAGGCAAGTTCTTTAAGTGTCGAACATTCTCAAGTAAATGAGAATCACACACACTTATTAACTTCACAAAAATCATCATAACATTAAGAAGAATTTTAAAGATAAACTTTATTCAACTTGCCTATCAAGATTGAAGACCAAACAAAAAATTAACCCTCTGTAAAAAAAACATTATTTAAAGGGTAAATTTTAACCTTTACTAAATAAAATTCCACAATGAAGTTATTATATAAAAAAATACCATTCATTGTTTATTCTCTATTTTTCATAGGCGAAGCAAGATAACTATTAATAAATTTTACTTAATATCTTTAATTTGAAAATATATTCCGTTTTATTTCCCACAAAACACCAATAACAGGCAAACATTATCTAACAGGTTAAAGCCTAGCCAATGATTGATTGATTTCACGTTGAGGGTGTGAGAGGGGGGGGGGGGGGTGAGGTGGGGAGAAAACACCCTTCAACAAAGAGCGAGAGATAGGTGTAAATGTACGTAGGGACAACACCTACAATTCGTGTATAATGATAACTATTGTTTTCAAATCGATATGGTGTGGAATCCGATTCGAGTTGTTGTTGCAAAGCGATAAAATATTACTTTTTTTTTGGGTGGGGGCAATGTCTACGAAAACAAGAATTAAGGGGAAAAAACAGCAACAAATTAATGTAGCTTTGAGTGTGGATATCAGTATTGGTCTCGTAAAGTGTTTTTGTATTGTTCGATTGTACTTGACTCGGGGTAACCAGCCCCCCCGTTTTTTTCAAAGCGTTTATGTCTATTTATGTATGTATTTCGGTGGAGTGAAGTGATAGCCCATAGAGAATGCTATCTAATTAAGCTCTTATAAAAATATAGCAGAAGGTGTTGTGTATATATGTATGTATCTCGTATTTTTCATTGTCTTGGTGTCGAATGATTTGCTAAAATTATATTATTTCAAATTTTTGTGCAATATTGCCGCCTACAAATATATATATGTATATGTTTTGTTTTTGCCTAGGCCGAACAATTTATAAACATTCTAAGACACAAAGAGTGATTTGTTAGATATTTTATGACAATTGAAAAATCTTTTTTTTTCACTTTTCAAAATCACAGTTTTTCAAAAATATTTATGGCAGTTATTCGTGAGATATTGTTTTTGTTGTTCATATATTTATTTATTTATCAGAAAATAATAATGAACGATCACATGCCTTGAATACGCAACGATCCGGCAATGGATAGTTGAATGACGACATTTTATATTATTTAGCTTCATAGAAATACTTAAATTTATTAAAAAGTTTTAATAATTTACAATTATATTATGTACGATAGAAGTTTATGAAATGGCGCCCAACGATTTTTAATTTTAAAATTAATTCTTATTAAAATTGTTATCCATATCCGCCATTGAAACAATTTATCTACTTAAACATCCCTTTGAACTTGAATTTTTCCATGCATATTTTTAATGTTATACCTTATTATTAAATGGCGCCCAACGAGATGAGTTTTGAAGTATTTCTATTTTACTTCAAAACATTTTCACAAAATAATTAGCCAAGTACACTTCTATAATCTAACTTGATGTGTATCTTGGCATTTCCACGCACGGTTTAAACGTTATATAATGTAATTGAATTGCTCCCAACAAAAGGATTTGAAGTTACAAGGAGAGTAGAAAACATATTTCTCTAAAATCAATTTAAGTCAGGCGATTTAAGTCTAGAGTTTTGAACTTTTCATGTCCAGAATGGCGCCCAACGAGAATATTGAAATTTTTCACACAAAGTTTTGAATTTTATACCATATTATTGAATGGCGCTCAACAAGGGACAATTTCAATACTATATATCTGCTGGAAGAAGATTTTTCATATTTAAGGCCGACGGCAAATCGTTGGCATAAAAACCCTCAATACTACCCGAATTTCCCATACTCCATTGCAAATTTTTAATTTGGAATTTATTGGGAACTAGCAAGTGCCTGCTACTTCGTTAGCGAAAAGTCCACCTTAAAATTTTGAATTCGTTTTAACAACTCGTGTTAGGCTCTTTTAGTACTCAAAATGCACAATTTGTTCAGTTTGACGACATTTTTAATCAAAATTTAAATATTTTTGTTGAACTTTTACACCAAAATGTCTTAAAAATCTTTCATTTTGACGTTAACCGAAGAGGATATTAGTAAAATCATTGCCCAATTCACAATTATTTCACCATTTCCATATGTAAACCCTATAAACTAACAGTAACCTCAAATTAGAATATGCTATTCAGTTCCATCCCGAGCAATTATAGTATACATTTTCAAAAAAAATTTCCATATCTCAGTCCCAGATACCAACAGCGACATTCATATCAAATTTCCGGATTTAAGCTTTATTGCTTCACCCAATACCAATGTTTGTACTATTTAGTACTTTTCGTACAATTATATTTACATTTTTAAAACAATCTCCATATCTCAAGCTCAGATACCAACGGAAAATTTAATATCAAATTTTTGGATTTAGCTCTTCAGTTTCCACCATTACCAAATTTAGTACCAGTACGTACAATTATAGTACACATATCCGAATCCAGCTCATTTTCTCAACCACAGACACAAACAATGACATCTATATCAAATTTCAGGATTTTAGCTCTACTCCTTCACCCAATATCACATTTAATACTATTTGGTAATTTTTGTACAATGATAGTACACATTTCTAAAACTATCTCCATATCTCAGATGTCAACAGTGATCTTAATATCAAATTTCAGGATTGCAGTTCTTTAATATTCACCATTACCAGATTTAGTACCATTTAGTACAATTATAATACACATATCCAAAATCAGGCTCCTTCTCGCAACCACAGACACCAACAGCGGCATTTATATCAAATTTCCGGATTTCAGCTTTATTACTTCAACAAATACCAAATTTAGTACTATTTTGTACTTTTCGTACAATTATAGTTCACTTTTCCAAGAGCATCTCTATGTCTCAATCCTAGATACCAACAGAGACCTCAATATCAAATTTCGGGAATGTTAAGTTTTTAGCTCTATCGTTCATATAATACAAAATGGTAACATTTTAGAACATTTAGAACATTTTGTACATCTATCCTGCTCTCTATCAGTGACTCTCTCTTAACATTTCCTTTAAGAACGAATTACCAAAAACCCAGTCTTATCACATACGTATCAAAACTGACTCTAATGCAAAACTTCAAGATTCTAGCTTTATCCGTTTAGTTTGGGCGATGATTCTTAGTCATTTAGTCAGATATTTCACTTCACATATCGGCCAACTCCTTCTGGTACCTCCTCCACAAAAGGTAATTTCAATGAAAATATTTTACTACAAATTGTACACATCACAATAGTTTTATTAACCCAAGGTCTGATGTGAAGATGGAGTATATCGGTCCACTCCTTCTGGTACCTCCCACACAAAGGGTCAAATTTTTTTAATATCCAAGAAGCTTATAAAACGTGAAATCAACATCTGATTTTATTCAGACTTGAAACATCTCAATATTTCTATCAACACAAGATCCGTTATAAAGATGTTAGAGATCGTATCACTCCTTCTGGCACCTCCCCCACAAATGGTGAAAATTTTGAATAACCAAAACGGTTATAAAATTCGAAATAATCATCAGATTCTATTTATATTTCACACATCCCATTTTTTCTATTAACACAAAATCTGCTGGGAAGATATAATATATCGGCGCACTCCTTCTGGTACCTCCCCACCAAGGGTCAAAACTTTGAATATCCATGAAGATCACAAAACGCGAAATAAATATCGAAATCCATTCAAACTTGCCACATCTCAATATTTCTCTCGTCACAAGATATGCTATGAAGATGGGAGGGATCGTACCACTCTTTCTGGTACCTCTCCCACATAGGTTTAAGGTTTTGAAAAACAAACCGCTCAAAGAAAGCGAAATAAGCATCCGGTTCTCTTCAAATTTCACACATACAAACATTTTTGATAACAGAAGATATGTTGTGAAGATGATGGGTGTCTGTAACCCCCTTCTACTTCAACCACAAAGGGTGACTTGCGAGTCAGCGATCCTTTAGAACTTACTATATCTAAATAGTTCTCTCAACCAAAAACCTGATATGAATATGGAATTTATCGGAACTTATGATTTCGCATAAAATTGGATATAAGTGTTCGATTTTCTAATTCTGGCACGTCGCAATAGTTATATCATATTTATTTAGATCCGATATGAAATGGACAATATTGGCCTATTCCTTCGGAATCTACTCCATAGAGGGTCAATCTTCTGAATAATCGTAGAAGAAGTCAAAATATATTTAAGTAATCGAATATTTGGCTGAGGGTATGCAGCTGTCGGCACAACCGACTGCTCATTTTAACTTGTGAATAAACTGAACTGCTCAAGAGAAAGCATTTACTTCAAACTTCGTTTTTTTAACTCTCTTTCTCTTTTGCAGCAAACACATGTATGTTTTCTCTTTCCCTCGTTCACTCTCTATCCACTCGTTTTTTTAAAAAGGAAAACCTAATGTCTTCTGAATATAGTTTATTCTAAGGCCGAACCTCTTGTCCCAATTAGGAATTTATATTTCAAAAAAAAAAAAAATAAAAATAAAAAAATACTCAAATGATTTTTTAAATAATTTATTTTAATATATTTATTATTACAACAAAAAAAAAAACATACAAACATCTTAAGAACAATTAAACTGATAACCCATGTCCAAGCAGGAACAATTTGGTAGGGTACAACGGGCACCCACAGATGGCAGCGTTGGTGGTGGTAAAGCTGGGGCCAAATGACCCTGAAATGTTATGGGAAAGGTGAGAGGAACAAACCACTTCGGATAGGCATTTGGCGTCGATGCGGCAGTGGCACAAAGATTATTGGATAAATTCAAAGGGGGCTGGGAGTGCTGCAAATGAAGGAGATTCATTGGAAATTAGAAATCGATTTTAAAGGGTTTTTGGTTATAAAACTTACCACATTTCCCGCCGAAGAATAAACCGGCTTAAAGGCACTCTTCATGCCCGGCTCACTGCGATTCAGCAGTCCCGCATCCATCTCCCTAATATCCTTATGTTCACGAAAATTACTCGAAATATTTTCAATGGCCTTAATCAAATCCGAATCGCAACGTTTGAGAATTAATTCCAACACCGAACGTTTTCTTTGGGGAAATATTTGCATCAACATTTCAATGGCATTTTGTGAGACGTGGTGTTGGCCTTCACTGGCCATAGCAAGGGGGGTTGTATTTTCCTCTCTAGGCTTGCTATCCATGGTGGTCAAAACGATGTTGGTTTTTGTTGTTTTTATTGAATTATATGATTTTGGTTTTAGGCCATTTGGGGGTTTAGTTATTTCTTCCACTTCTTCGGTTTGTTGTTGTTGTTGTTGCTGCTGTTGTTTATTTGGCAAACTTAAATCTTCAACTGTTGAAGTTTCCAGAGTTGAGTTAAGGTCGCTTGTTTTTAGTTGTTCACCGTTCAGACCAAAAATACTACCCGGAGGCAATGCATCCAATTGTTGTCCGGTCTTTGTGGCTACCAATCGTAAAGCAATGGCATCTTCAACAGCTTGCTGGCGCTTCAGGGCAACCTGTTCAATCAGGAATTCAAAACACAAGATAAGTGGGAGAAAAAGGAATAAAAGATAGTTTTATAAATTCTTGAAGTAATGCCTTCTTCAGGATATTGAATAAATTATAAAAGTTCTGAAGAAAGATTTTTGTAATCTACTATTCTTGGGATTTCCTAAACAAATATCGTAGATTTTTAAGGATTTTCATGTGAAAAAGGATTTTTAGGCAAGAGAATTTTTCAAGGATTTTCAGCCAAAAAAATGTGGGCATTTTAAGAATTGTTTTCAAAATCTTCCCATAGATAAAACTATTGAAAATTGTGACCCTTTGTGGGTGAGGTACCAGAGGGGGTTGGCAAATGTATATCATCTTCACAACAGATCATGTGTTACCAAAAATATTTGGATGTGCTTTCTTTGAGGGTTTGTTTTTCAAAATCTTTAATCCTATGTGGGGGAGGTACCAGAAGGAGTACGCCGATATATCCCATCTTCACAGCAGATCTTGCGTTAGTAGAAATAATGGGAAGTGGAAAATTTTGCAGAATTTTATGATCGTTTTGGTTATTCAAAATTTTGACCCTATGTGGGGGAAGTGCCAGAAGTAATGGTCCGATCTCTATCATCTTTATAACAGATCTTGTGTTATAGAAAATGTTGAGATGTGTGAAATATAAAGAGATCGGATGCCTATTTTGGATTTTATAAATGTTTAGGTTATTCAAAACTTTGACCCTTTGTGGGGGAGGTACCAGAAGGAATGGTCCGATCTCTATCATCTTTATAACAGATCTTGTATTGATGAAAATATTGAGATGTTCCAAGTCTTAATGGAATCGGTTGTTAATCTCACGCTTTACGAGCTTCATGAATATTAAAAATTTTGACCCTTTGTGGGGGAGGTACCAGAAGGTATAGACCGATATGTTCCATCTTCACATAAGACCTTGGGTTAATAAAAATATTAATATCTGTGTAATTTGAATTTCGGATTTTATGATTATTTTGGTTAATCGAAATTTTGACCCTCTGTGGGGGAGGTACCAGAAGAAATGGTCCGATCTCTACCATCTTTATGAGAGAACTTGTGTTGATAGAAATATTGAGATGTTCCAAGTCTGAATGGAATCGGATCTTAATATCGAGTTTTATGAGCTTCATGGATATTTAAAATTTTGACCGTTATATAATTATTCAAAATGTTGACCCTTTGTGGGGGAGGTACTTGATGCAATGGACAGATATTATCCATTTTCGTACCTGACGTAGCACTGATGCAAATATTATGATTTGCAAAGTTGGAACAAAATCGAATCCTTTCTTTCTCTGTGTAGTAAAATATTTTCTTTGAAAATTGTGACCTTTTTTTGGAGGAGGTACTAGAAGGAGTGAACCAATATTGCCAATCTCCGAACTCGATCTAAGTTTGACAATAATATTACGATATACCAAGTATGGACCAAATCGGATACTTGCTTCGAGAATTATTGTGCGCAGAAGCCAGACAGACAAACGGACGGACATCGCTAGATTGACTCCAAATGTCCTGATAGGGATTTGATCCAAAGAGACCTAGGGTCTAAAACCGTTATTTCAATGAGGCATGTTTTGACGTATCAAAAGATACAGGGTGAAAGAAAAAAAAACTGCAACCAACTTCAGACTGCTGTCATTTCTAAGCAACTCGTCCGGCAGCTGTTAAAATGATTCCAGTGACAGCTCATTATATTGTTTACAAGCATTTTGGGGAGAATTTTCCAGAAATTCTTTTTCCAAAAGAAGCGACTTGATCGAAACCCGCGTGGCCGTGGTAGAGGGCGAAAAATGGCTCATGAGCTGAACATATCGCAACATTCCATTCGGCAAATATTGAAAAATGAGCTCGGGGTAAAGCCATTGAAATTCCAAAAAGTGCAAGAACTTACACCGCAACTGAAAGAAAGCGCCGGCCATGGTGATGGTGTGGGCCGCCATAATAACAGCCGATGTTCGCTCTCCGCTCGTATTAATCGACCGTGGCATCAGAATAAATGCCGAATATTATCGCGAAAATATTCTGGAGGGTGTTCCAAAAGCCTTGGGTACGCAAACATCTTGGCAGCAGACCTTGGACATTCCAACAGGACTCAGCACCATCGTACTCAGCGCGCGTCCCCAAGAATGGTTACAAAATGAGGTTCCTCGCTACATTTCCAGCGCACAATGGCCACCAAAATCTCCGGATACCAATCCGTTGGACTATTGTGTCTGGAGTATTTTGGAAAGCAAGGTTGGCACTAAAAAATACCAAAGTGTCGATCACCTCAAGCAAGCGCTTCGCCAGGAATGGGCCAAAATACCGCAGTGCAACATTCGGTCAGCGTGTTACGCTTTCATTGGCCGTTTGAAGGCCATAATTCGTGCCAAAAATGACCAATTCAAACAAATCTAAAATTATTCTAAAATTTGATGACATTTTTTTGCTTTCATTCAATAAAATTTAAAAAAAATGTAAAAATACCACCATTCGAGGACTTCTTAAAAAATCATTTTTATAAAATCAACAATTCCTAACCAAGAGATGCATATCTTTAAAAATCCAGTTTTCCAGGAAGTTCTTGAAAAAAATTTCGAGACGTGGAGTATTTTGGAATGCCTTACCCTCTGGTAAACATTACCATCGTTCTCCACTAATAAACAAACGTTGTTTTTATAAAAACAACAATAAAGGCATTAAGCCTGACCATTTTGCAACAACAAAATACTATGGTATCCCGAACAAACAAAGCCAACACGATTCGGAAAATATTATTTTAAAATCCACGTCGTTTGGTCAAAAATATTGCTCATTTTTCTTGAGCAGGAAGTAGTTAAAATGTATTTAGGAAATATGATTTTTCTGGAAGTTTTTGAAAACTTTTTAAATCCGCGACTATTCAACAGGAACATTTTTGAAAAAATCTAAAAAAAAATCACGATTCTTGGATAGGAAATTATTTTTAAAAATTTCTCTATTCTGGCCATGGAAGTTTTATAAAAGATCCTAGATTTTTGGCCAGGAAGCTATTAAATAATCCTTTATACTTGGCTAGGAATTTCTTGGCAAAAATTTTAAAAAATATACGGGTTTTTCCTAGAAAATTTTGAAAATACAATTTGAAACTGTTCACAAATTTTCGCCAGGATTTTCTATACAAAAAAAAGAAAAAAAAGAAAACTAAAAATTCGTCAATTTTTTGCCAGAAGTCCTTACAAGATTTTTCTTAAGAACCCGCAATTTTCGTGACAAAAAATATTTAACACGGCTTCTTCCCGGAATTTCTTAAAAAATAGCTATAAAATATTTCATAAGTGAAATTTCACTATTCTGGCTATGGAAGTATATAAAAGATCCTAGATTTTTGGCCAGGAAGCTATTAAATAATCCTTTATTTTAGCTAGGAATTTCTTGAATAAAAATAAACTATTTTTTCCCAAACAATTTTAAAAATATATTTTGAAACTGTTCACAAATTTTCGCCAGGATTTTCTATACAAAAAAAAAAAACTAAAAATTCGTAAATTTTTTGCCAGAAATCCTTACAAGATTTTTCTTTAGAACCCGCAATTTTCGTGGAAAAAATTATTTAACACCCCATTTATTTATTCATTTATTTTTGAAAAATGATTTTTTTTTTGAAAAATGATTTTTTTTTTTGAAAAATTAAAAAAGAAATATTTTTTTGAAAAATTAAAAAAATCATTTTTTGAAAATTAAAAAAAAATCCTTTAAAAAAAATCTTTTTTTTTTTGAAAAAAAAAAATATTTTTATATTAAAATATAACAGGAAGGCATTAAAAATTAAATTTCCGATTCTTGGCAAGGACATTACAAAAATATTTAAAAAATCACTTTTTTTTTGAAAAATAAAAAAAAACTTTTTTTTGAAAAATTAAAAAAAATCCTTTTTTTTTGAATAACTAAAAAAATCATTTTTTTTTTTTTTTTTGAAAAAAAATATATTTTTATATTAAAATATTTCTTTTAAACAGGAAGTCATAAAATATTACATTTTCGATTCTTGGCAAGGACATTACAAAAATATTTAAAAAATCCCTTTTTTTTGAAAAATTAAAAAAAAACATTTTTTCGAAAAATTAAAAAAAAACCTTTTTTTTGAAAAATTAAAAAAATCTTTTTTGTTTTTGAAAAAAAAATATATTTTTATATTAAAATATTTTTTTTTAAACAGGAAGGCATTAAAAATTAAATTTCCGATTCTTGGCAAGGACATTACAAAAATATTTAAAACGTTCTTTTTTTTTTGAAAAATTAAAATAAAAACTTTTTTTATTGAAAAAAAAAATTCATTTTTTTTTTTTTTTGAAAAAATAAAAAAAATCTTGTTTTGAAAAAAATATATATTTTTATATTAAAATATTTTTTTAAACCGGAAGGCATTAAAAATTAAATTTCCTATTCTTGGCAAGGACAAAGATAATTAAAAATCTTTTTTTTTTGAAAAATAAAAAAAATCTTTTTTTTATTTTTTTTTTTAAAAATCTTTTTTTTTTTTTAAATCTTTTTTTTCAATCCTTTTTTTAAAAATCCTTTAAAAAAAGAGTTCCATAAATAGTAGAAAAACATCTGTCAAGATATGTGGTTTCCGTGTAAACCCAAAGCTGCCAAATCCAATCAATTACACACTACTAGCCCCCTGTGTTTATCCCCCGACCCGTATTTAAACAATCACTGGAGACAATTGAAATTAATATGCCAAACATGAGGAGTTTATCTTTAACCGGGTGTTAATACATAATATCCCCACTCCTTCCCCTTACCCCCGCCCCCCGCCTAAATACCCTAATCCGCCACAACATTGCCTTTGATTCAAATGATTATCCTCAAGGCTGTGTGTGGGGAGGGGGGGACAAATAAAAATATAATATAGTTTTGTGTTATTTGTAACATGACCTTTCGTCAAAAAAATCTTTGCATTCCCCGAGGAACACTTGTGCAAACAGTGTCAGTGGAGACGAAGCAAAAGTTGGTGGTGGGG